AATTATTAAAAAAAGAGTGGTAAGTTCTGTAAACACAAAGCAAGCCAGTGTAGCTGGAGTATAACATAGGAAGGTAGCTGGGCTGGAGAAAAATGGGGTATGATAGTGTCAGATATTAAGAAACCATTTTTATTAAACTTAAAAGTACATATAAAATCACTAAAATGTTGTGGCACAAGGAATATAATTGCTGATGTCAAATGGCTCATGGCTGAAAAGTTTTGTGTTTTTTTGACTAAACAAAGACTTTCAACTATGTGGATCATAGTAAATTATGGGTAACATTGAAAAGAATGGGAATTCCAGAATACTTGTGTGTATGACCTGTGTTTAGACCAAGAGGCAGTTGTTTAGAAAAAACAAGGGAACACTGCATGGTTTAAAGTAATGACAAGTGTGCATCAGGGCTGTATCCTTTCTCCATACTTGTTCAATATGTATGTTGAACAAATCACTCAAAAAGCTGGCCTACATGAAGAATGGGGCATCAGGATTGGAGGAAGACTCATCGACTCATCAAAAATTTTTATAAAATCACACAACTGCTTGCAGAGAGTGAAGAAGACTTGAAGCACTTACTGAAGAAGATCAGACTACTGCCTTAAATATGGATTATATCTCAACATCAAGAAAAAAATTCTCACCACTGGATCAAAAGGCAACATGATGATAGATGGAGAAAAGAGTAAAGTTGTCAATGATTCCATTTTACTTTGATCCACAATTAACCCAGATGGTAGCAGCAGTCAAGAAATCAAAACATGTGTTGCTGCATTGGGGAAATGTGCTGTCAAGGATCTCTCCACAGTGTGAAAGAACAAGTATGTAAGTTTAATAACTAAGATGCACCTGACACAACTCAAAACAATATCCCATGGACTGTCAAAAGAACACACAGATATATCTTGGACGAGGGGCAGCCAGGGTGTTCCTTGTAGGCAAAGATGATGAAGCTTAGTCTCACACACTCTGGACATGTTGCTAGAAGGGGTTATTCCTTGGAAAGGGACATTATGCTTGGGAAGGTGGAGGCATGGCAAAAGAGAGGAAGATCTTCAACCAAGTGGGTTGACAGCGGCTGAAGTAATGTGCTTGAGTGTGTCAGAGATTGTGAGGATGGCACAGGACAGACAGGACAGAGTTCAGATCTGTTGTTCATAGGACCACTGAGGCATACTTGATGACATCTAACAACAACCATTCCAGAAACACTGAATCAGGAACTGGCATCAGGTCCTGAGGACTCTGTTGCATACTAAGTTTTGAGAATCCTTCAAAAGTTGGAAAATACTTAAAAGACAGAAGAAGGGCATTATAAGTCAAATTTAAAATGTCAAAATTGGTCCCAAGGTGCTCCAATTTACTATTTGCACCTTAACTTCAGCCAGTTACCTATCTTAGTGCCCAAATCATGTGCTCAGCTTAGAGGGGACTGTATTACTGTGAGATGCCCTTGAGTTGGCGTCACCTCTATGCACCCTACGTACAACAGAAGGAAACTCTGCCCAGTCATGAGTCCTCTTCACACTCTCTGCTGTCCTTAAGCTCTTTGTTGCTACTGATGAATTCTACTCTGTGTGTGTGTATGTGTGTGTGTGTATATATACATATATACAGTGTGTATATGTATACTGTATATACATTGTGTGTGTGTGTATAATACAGTGGAGTACTCAGGTGGCTCAGCCTGGAGGAAACTGCACTGTTAACTCAAAGGTGACTCCTCCATGATGAGATCTACCCATGGAAGGAGAAAAATGGATTATCGTCTCCCATATAAAAACCTGTTGGAAGGTTAGCTATGAAACAGGCCATCCCCTCACTGCTGCCAAATATGCTACAGAATCAACACCAATTGACTCAATGTCAGTGAATTGTGTCGAGTAATTTACATTTCCTGACTTTAAGTAGTTTATATGCTGAGGAGACAAAATGTGTAATAAAAAAAATAAAAATAATTAAAACATAATTGAGTTCTCGGGGGAAATGTTATTAGCTACACAGTCTAGAGAGGGATTTAGAAAGATAGTATAAATATTTTTTCATGCATATGTAATATGCTTTGAAAAATAAAATATATTAAGAGAGAAGAATACATTATGAAACACTTTAAATCTAACTTTCAAATTTATATAAAAGATTTAAGCTAACTAAAACAAAGTAGAAGAGGCCGTGGCACCAGGGATATAATTGATGATGTCCGATGGATCCTGGCTGAAAGTAAGGATTACCAGAAGAAAGTCTATTTGTGCTTTATTGACTATACAAAGGCATTTTTGACTGTGTGAATCATGTCAAGTTATGGCTGACATCGAGAAAAACAGGAATCCCAGAGCACTTGATTGTGCTCATGAGGAACCTATGCCTGGACCGGGAGGCTGTTGACCAAACAGAGCAGGGGAGCACTGTATGGTTTGGAATTGGGAAGGGAATGCATCAAGGTTGTATTCTCTCTCCATAACTAATCAATCTACATGCTGAGCAAATTATCCAAGAAGCTGGACTCTCTGAGGAGGAGTGTGGCATCAGGATTGGAGGGAGACTCATCAGTAAAAACTGAATTATGCAGGTGACACAATCTTGTTTGCTAAAAGTGAGGAGGACTTGAAGCACTTTTTGCTGAAGATTAAGGAATGCAGCCTTCGGTATGGAATGAATCTCAATGTCAGGAAAACAAAGATTCTTACCACTGGACCAGTAAGGCAGTGTCATGATGGATGGAGAAGAGATTGAAACTGTCAGCAGCTTCATCATGCTTGGATCTACAATTAATACTGCTGGTACCAGCAGTCAGGAAATAAGGAGACGCATTGCCCTGGGAAAATGAGCACTTAGGGACCTTTCCAAGTTATTGAGGAATAGTGATGTCAGTCTGAAGACCAAGGTGCATCAGATCTAAGCCATAGCCTGATTATTTGCTATGCATCTAAGAGCTGGACAATGAATAAGGATGACAGAAAAAAACATTGTCACCTTTGAGCTGTCGTGCTGAAGAAGACCATGGAACATCCCGTGGACGGCCAAAAGAACAAACAGCTATGCCTTGGAGAGGGTGTAGCCCGAGTGCTCTTTGAAGGCAAGAATGCTGAGGCTTCACGTCACATACTTTGGGCATGTTGCTAGGAGGTGCTGTTCCTTGGAGAGAGACATGATGCTGGGAAGGGGGGAGGGGTCAGCAAAGGAGAGGAAGACCCTCAACCAGGTGGACTGACATTGCGACTGTTGCAATGGGCTTTTGTGTGTCAGGAAGTGTGAGGATGGCACAGGAGAGAACAGGGTTCATATCTTTTGTTCATAGGGTCGCTATGAGTCGCCTATGACTCGACACTTGACAATGATGACAAACAACAACAACAAAACATAGTAATGGTTTAAGGTGAAGAAATGTCTTCCCATTCCTTTGTTACCAAGAGACTATTTTTCTGAGTCCCTCTCATTGACTTGGAAGGAACAATGCACAAGTATTTATTAAAACATGGCTAAAATGACAGGAAACAATTTCAGTCCTATTATTTGTTAATTTCAACTTATATTCTTAGCAGATACTTTAAATAGAATCAGATTCTGCCCAGTGGATCTAAGATTTTTTTTTTTTGTGGAGCTAAGATTTTTAACATGCTAACAAATGATGCCAATCAGTTGGTTCATGGATGAGCAATAAAAAGTATTTTTGTGTTATTGTTCCTTTCCAAATCAATGATAAATGACTTGAAACTTTTTGTATTGAGCATGAAAACTCTAAGCAAGAAAGAAATGGATAGGCAAAATAGTAAGACTAAAACTGACATTTTTCATCAACTAAAATCTTAACCAACTGTAAGAAGAATTTCAATTCTTATAATAAGTCTGTATAAAGGAATATAAGAATACCTTCATATTAACTCCACCTAAGGTAGTTTTCGAATTGTCACTGATTCTGAGGTTATTACAGTGATGAATTTCATTTCTTTCCAAAACGGCCATGCTCCCAGGATAAAGCTCAACACCAGCACCCTGTTAATGAAAAGTAAATAGTTACCAAAGTGTACACAGATACTTCACATTTTTTCCTTAGATTTGCAAATTATCATTCTACATTAACAATCTAACCATTTTAGTGACACAAAAATATGACAACAGTGCATTCAACAGTTATAGCAGTGATTACGCTGATGAATCTCAAAAACTACTTCTCTGTTAAGAGAATCATTAAGTCTAGGCAGGCAGCTGAAGTAATGTGGTCCATTACCTTGCTATTCCATCTAAATGAATCCTCAATGAATGAAGCAGCAAGTCTAAGACCTCTCTATAAGCAGTATTTTTTCAATAGTTATAAAATTTCTAGTCATGTTGTTGTTGTTGTTGTTAGGTGCTGTTGAGTCATAGACAACTCATAGCGACCCTATGAATGAAAGGCCTGAGCACTGTTTGTAGCCATTTCAGAAGTGGATGCCACTCCTGCTTCCAGGCTTGTTTTAGTCGGGAAGCTCCACCAAACACTGTCCACCATCGGTAACCATTACCACATTTGGCACATCAGTGCCTCAGTGGTCAGCATCACAGCTGACCATGAGTTACCTCTATACAGCAATGCACAGACCAGTGCTATACCACCTAGAAGAATGTTTGACAGAAAAACAATTTGAACCAGGCTTGAGGGCTGCAGATTAAAATCACCCACCTTGGGCTTGGTAGCATAACTTTCTGTCCACTAGTCATTTCCGCTCTAAATCTCTCAAAAGGTTGCTGAAGTCTATTTTCTCATTTTAATGGAAATTAATTCTAAATATATATCCTTTTTTTTGACTACTTCCTTTATTTTTTTTTAATCACTGGATTTTCCATTCCTTTAATAATCTTTCTGTCTGTTTTCTGAACATGTTCAAGTTTGCTATGTCTGGTTACCACAGTAACTTACAGTGAAGTCTGATAGCTTCAAAGTACTGACTTTAAAATAAGCCATCAAATAACCAGCTCATCATTAGTTTTACAGTAACTCATTCCTAGAGTTTAAAAAAATCAGATGTAAAAAACCAAAAGTAATAAATAATTTCTTATTTTGGATTTAGGCAGTTCACCTTTCCTAAGTCTGCTATGACCCTGTTCTTATATTATTTCTACCAATTTCTAAGTGTAAGTAATTATAATTCCATTAAAAGATGATGAAATTAGGGAGCATTGGTGTCCTAGTGGCCAAAAGCTGCACTGCACTCCCAGAGGTGTGCAATTTGAATCCACCAGATGCTCTACTGGAGAAGGAGGTACAATCTTCTCCTGTATGAGTCAGATCCAATTTGATGGTACACACACACACACACACACACACACACACACACATAAATAATAAAATAAAATTTAAAATAGATGATGGAATCACAACCCTTTACATGTTAAAAATCACACACAGTTATTCGTACTAATCATATGAAGTTGTAGTTTTTATAAAATGAAATACCTGGGCACCAGTAATTTCACTGTCTGTAACTGTCAAAGCAGCCCCTGTAAGAACACATACTCCTGTTCCTTCACATTTTAATATACAGTTTTCTAGAGTCATGTGACCAGACTCTACAACCACAATACCATCGACTGTTCCTTGTTGTATCAAAGATAGATGCATTAGTTTCACATTGTCAGCTTTAGACACGATAAAACTGTCATGGGAAGGTTTGGAAGTAATAATAATTTCTTCTCTATTTCCAACTCCTAAATCATAGGGACAAAACCACATAATTATATAAGTAATCTCAAATTTTAAAGCCCTTTATTCATTCAATAATACTTGCTAGTACGTAAAAATCTTCCTTTCACATATTCTTACTCAGTTAACAACAACAACAACAACAACAACAACAATAATATTATTCAGTTGTTAACTGAGTAGTTAGAATGTGATCTTCAGTGTTATCTTGATGTCATAAAGTCTAAGGGGAAAGTCTAGGTTGATTATAAATCTAACATTGCCTATTATATGTATTCAATATATTAATTTCACTACATACTTCCCAAATTTTATAGTCAGCAGTAATTTATACAATATCCAAAATACGAAATAGAAGCTGTAGTGGACTAGAGGTAAGAAGCTGTAATGCAACCCCAAAGTCACATGGTTTGAATCCACCAGCATCTCCAAGGAAGAAGGAGGGACAATCTCCTCTCAGATATTTGTTGTTTGCCAATGAGTTGGTTTCCTCCCGTGGGTTTTCAGAGGCAGTAAATTACATGGGAGGATATTGCTTATCCTTCTCCTATGGAGCAGCTGGTGGACTCAAACTGTATGCTTTTGGGATTGCAGTGCAGTTTTTTACCACTAGGCCACCAGAGCTCTGTTATGGTGTGCCTTTGAGTCGGAACTGACCCATAGCTGATGGTCCTGTGAGTTTTCAGAGGCAATTAATGGCATGGAAGGAGACTTTGAACCATGTGCCTTTGGGATTGCAGCACAGCTTCTTACCACTAGAACACCAGAGCTCCCAATCAGAGCTCTACTGCCTCTGAAAACCTGTTGGAGGGTCAGCTATAGGTCTGTTTTGACTCGATATCTCACAACAACAACCAACAAAATACAAAAAGCACACCATAACTTGATTTTTAAACCATAATAAATTACCATAACTGAAAAACAGTGGCAAAGATGCTTAGATTCGTTTAAAATGTTAAAATAAATCACACACACATATTTATTCCTGAATAATATCCATACATTTAGAATAGTCAAAGCAGTCTAGATTTAATAGGAAGGAAAAAAATGAAGTTAGATCTTCAAGATTACAAAAATTTTAGTTACAAATATGATCTTTTTTACTCATATTATTTAGCAAAATTCTTAACTGTATCTATCAAATATAGTAAAAACTTTGCTCAGTTTTAAATTAAAAGTAAAGCTGAATTAGCATATTCCTTTATTTGAACAGGCAATGAAAATGCCTTTATTTTAAAGTATCAGGGCAGAGTCAAAGTTCCTAAATATATTAAGAATCTAAATTTAAATTTAGTTCACTCTTTCTACTCTTACTTTAATAAGTTTCCATGTGAATTAGACTACTTAAAAAATACTGAGTATATTTTAATATAGTTAGTAAAGTGATATGATAAGAACAGTAGGAATAGATGAGAACAAAGTCAAACTGGTAAAAGTACATACAGAAATAATAGAAAATAATAGAATTTTTACTAAAAGTAAATAATGGAATTTTTGTGAAACACAGACTGTTATGATTGAAAATCATTCAACTAGGCACATTCACTGTATAATATATCCAGTACAAATGTTTAAAAATATTGCAAAGGAGGCCTTGCTAACCCTTTATAATGATGTCATCAGTCAATGAAGCAAGATTTGCAGCTTGATATTCTCCTGGAAAAATAATTATTGTATCACCACTATAACAGCTGTCCAAAGCCAAATCCAAATCATTATGCTGTTGGATAAGTGTGTCTGAAGATAAGTTCTTTACCTGAAAAGAAGAAAACAGTTCATCTTCTTCAACAAGAGGTTAAAGTGAAACTTGCCATTTCCATGAGGTAGTTGTTGACTAATACATGCTTTTCCAAAGATTTAATTATTCATCTTTGTTAAATGATCAGCCTATTCACCAAAGGAATAATGAAATTACTTTTTTCTTCATAATTATGAATAATTTTACTAGGTATGATATATGTACTAAAAGTCTTATTTTGAGCATTGCTAACTTCACAACAGTGTTGTCTTCATTATACAATTAAGGAAACTGAAGCGCAGAGAGATTAAATGACTTGTCACACACCAAACTATAGTTTAGTTTAACTTTAAGGATGTCTTCCTTTAGCATTGTTCTCTTTTAATATCTATCCATATGGAATCAAAGTGACAACAGCAACTCAAAGATTAGATAGGAACTTCAGAAAGCAAGGAGTTTATGTTAACATGGAAGGAACAACTAGGAAAAAGTGAGAATAGTTACACAATGTGAAGAATGTAATCCATGTCAATAAATTATACATATAGAAATTATTACATTGGTATATGTTTGTTGAACTGTATATATTTTCACCAACAAAAGCGAATTATTTTTTAAATAAAGATTTTTCAAGGACAGACTGAGTGCATGAATTTTAAATTCAGGTTTGTCTGTATGGAACCAGAGCTAATTCTCTCTCCAATATGCTCCTTTACTTTCTTTTTAACTCAACTGACCCAACAATTTTAGTGAATCTACACAATTTCATACATTAAATAAAGATTCTGGAGTTAAAACACAGGAAGTCCCAATAATTTGCATTGGGAGCAAAAGACAACATTATCAGTGTAATGAAGAGTAACGGACTTTTTAAAATTATTAATTTTAATGAAAGTTTACAGAGACTTAGGGTATCCATTAATTCACTGTTGCACTTTTCTCCCTGTCCATCCCCCCAATTCACTTGTCTCTTTGAAAAGTAAAAGAGAAATTCTTTCATTGTTTGACAATCCCTCCCCCCAAGTCCACTTCACTATAAAGCCTTCATTCTGGACTCCTGTCATGACAATATAATACCTAATCACATATACCTTTTAAATAGTTCTCTCCTTCATCTATCTCAATGCAGTATACATTATTTATCCCCTCTTTCTCAGTCTTCCCTCAACTCCGATGTCAGTCCCAATTTACAACAATGGCAGTATTTGTCCTTTTGTGACTGAGATATTTCACTCAGTATAATGTCCTCCAGGGTCATCCATTTTGTATAATATTTTATGAGTTCCTTATTTTTCAATGCAGCATACTATTCTATTGTGTGAATATATCAGAGCTTCTCTATCCATTTATTTGTTGATGGGCACTTGGGTTGTTTCCAACGCTTTGCTATTGTGAACAAAGCCGCAATAAACATGGGTGTGCAAGAGTAAAGGACATTTTAAATTAAATTTAAAAACTAAGACTGTATGCTGGAAAAAAGGCCAATTTTTCTTTTATTCAAATAGAAATGGTATTATCATGCTATTATAAAGGCAATAGTTTGATACTTTAAACACATATAATAAAAGCATAACATAAGGGAAAATTAACCTATGTATTTTTACTTAGATTGTCATTTAAAACTGGTAATTGTTTCCAGCCTTCTACCCATGCATGTAATCATATACATACTTTAATCATATACAAATGTGTCATATGCTGATAGTTTTCCAAGGGTTTTTTTAAATTATGTTTACTATATTTTTCACTACATTATATCACATTTACTTTTTTAAATAGAAAATATTTTTTAAATAAAATTTTAATTGGGATTTTAACAAACATTTACAGAGAAGTTAGATTTTCATTCATTCATACTTGCACATATTATCTCATCCTCCCTCCCTCAGTTCACTTCCCCCCACCCCATTTTTCAAAAAATGAATTGCATTGGGAAAAATCTTCTGTCAGGGACCTCTCCAGAGTACTGAAAAGCAATTATGTCAGAGAAGAGACTAAGGTGCACTTGATCCAGTCCATGGTTTTCACAACTTGCATCAGAGAGCTGGGCAATAACTAAGGATTATAGAAGAATCCATGCCTTTGAGTTGTGGTGCTGGAAAAGAGTATTAGTGCAGGTGAAACTGATTAACTCCATTATACCACATTGTCCATTTTCAGAGACATTTATCATTTTTTAATAGCAATAATGAGATATTTGACAACAATATACTTTATATAAGTTATTTAACTTAACTGTATTGGTTTTTTAGTATTGCTGTAACAAAAAAACACCACACTAGGAAATTTGTTTTCTCACAGTTTTTGGAACTAGGAGTTCTGATTGAAGGTGAAGGCTTTTGTCTTTTTCAACTTCTGTTTGTTCTTGCTCTCACATTGGTTCTCACTCAGCATACCTATGTCAATAGGATGAAATACTGCCCAATACTGAACCATACTAATTGCTATGGCTGAGCCTGATGTTATAGCCACAGTGTCAATTAATCAATTTTATTCTCTCTTGGTCATAGGTTTTTCATTATGCTTGGAAGTCTATTCATACTGTAGGTTAAGGCTTCTAGACAAATGCTGGTGAGGGTGTAGAGGAGACTGGAACTCTAATTAATTGAGAATACAAAATAGTACAGCCACTATGGAAGAGAGTCTGTCACTTTCTCAAAAAGTTGGGAATAGAAATACTATTTCACCCAGTCATCCCACCACTGGGAATATACCCCTAAAAAGACTAGATGTGTATGCACACCCATGCTTCTTGTGGCATTATTCACAATAGCAAAAATATGGAAACAGCCCAACTTCCCATCAACAAATAAATGGATAGAAAAACTGCTACAGTCACACAATGGAATATTACACAGCATTGAAAAATAATTAACTTGTAAACACTATACAACATGGATGAGCCTGGAAGACATTATGCTGAGTGAAATATCTCAGTCTCAAAAGGACAAATGCTACAACTTTATATAATGTCAACAAAGCAGCAGGCAGCTTCAAACATATTGTGTGTGGGGGGAACCCAAAAACAAGCTTTCTCCTAAAAAAAACCAGAACATATTGCAGATCCAGTGAATACCACAGAGATAAGGAGACAGAAGAAATACATCAGTGAGAAGTTATAATAACAGCTATGGAAGAAGAAAACAAATATTCCACAGACAGAGAGCCAGAAGAAATATATTGATGTGGAGGAACAGGAATAACTATTGAAGAAAATGCAAAAGATGGAATAAAGAATTTATTTTCATAACAATAATATCTAATCATATATCCTTTTAAAACAGTTAATATGACAGGAGTTCAGAATGAAGTTAGCATAGCAGAGTGTGGACTTTGGGGGAGGGGTTGAATAACAATAAAAGAATTTTTTCTTTACTTTTCAAAAAGAAAAACTTATTGGGGGAGGGGTGGGCAGGGAGAAAAATGAAACAATGAATGAATGGAAATCCAAAATCTCTGTAAACTTTCATTAATAAAATTTTCAAAAATAAATAAAAGAAGAATAAATTGTACATGTAAAAAGTACTGAGTTGACAAATGTTTTATTCTATATACTTGTACTATACTTAAAAAGAATAAAGAAAGTACTTCAAAGCAAAAAAAATTGATTGTATAGATTAAAAGTAGAAGAAATTAAAAAAAATCAACACATGAAAGTGAGGGTACAACCAATACAGTCCTGGAATTAACAGAAAAGTATGAAAAAAAAAATCTAAAATATCAAGACAGAGATGGAAGAAGTTTCCAATATGCTGATGGAGCAATAAATCATTGAGCTAGAAGATAAGAACCTAAATGGCAACATAACTAGAAGAAAAAAACAGAAGATGGAAGAAAAATGAAGGAAACATTAGAATCATATGGAACAACATAAAAAGGAACAACATACATAGGATGAGAATTCCAGAATATGAAAGGGTCAGGGAAAAAACTTAAAAAAATTTAGAAGAAAATTTCCCAGGTATCATGAAGAACAAAGAAATCCATATTTAAATCTCAGGAAACCCCAAAAGAAAAATGTCAAGACATAGAATAATCAAATTATCAAAAATAAAAGTTAAGGACAGAATACTAAAAACAGCTAGAGAAAAGGAGAGTCACTTAAAATTACAGAACCAATTAGATTATATTCTGATTTCTCAACTTCTCAAGCAAGAAGACAATGGAAAGGAATATACAGAAGGCTGAAATAAAACAATTGCCAGCAAATGGTCCTGTACCCAGCAAAACTGCCCTTTAATAAGAAGGAAAAATAAGGTCATATTCAAAAAAGCAGAAACTTAAAAGAATTTGTGAAAAGACCAACTCTATATGAAATTATAAGGGAAGTCTTTCACACAGAGACACCAAAGGAAAGTGGATGGAATATAGTAACCAGAAACAACAGAAAAAGATATACAACAAAATGGCAGTGATAATATCTGGCCTGTCAATAATCACACTTAATGTGAATTACTTAAATGCATCAAATAAGAAAAAATGAGTAGCAGAATTGATTTAAAAAAACCAAAAAACAAAAAACAAGGCCCATCAATAGATTGTTTACAAAAGATACATCTAAGAAACAAGAATAAAAGACAGACTAAAAAGCAAAGGCTGTAAACAAATATATCAAGCAAATGGTACCTGCAAAAAAAAAAAAAAAAAGGAGTGGCAAAATTAATCTCTAATAAAACTGACTTCAGGATTAAAACAAATGTAAAAGATAAGTAAGGACAGTATATAATGATTAAAATAATTAAATTATTGTTAAGGTACAATAGATCAAGAAGATATAACCCTGGTCAACAATTATGCAACAAATAATAGATCTGCAAAATACATAAAACAACAGTTAATAGACTTGAAGAAAGAAATATACAGCACCACAATAGTGGTAGAAAACTTTAACACACCATTCACAAAGGATAGGCAAACTTGGAAGAAACTAAACAAAGATGCAGAAGATCTAAACTATACACCCAGTTAACTCAATCTTGTAGATGCATTCAGGGTACTGTATGCAATTAAAAACTCAA